TGCAATAAACAAAAATGAACATGTGAGAATATTGGGAATTTGGATGTCAGCAAATGGTAAAAAACAATATCAAAAAATCACCATTTGATGAAGAATTGGAAATATAGTATTTAAGCATTTCCTTAATTTCTTGATTTATTTTGATAATAAATAATTAAAAAAATGAAAAATTAATGAAAAAATTAATAAAAAATAAATTAAATTTTAAAATATTACTTTATTGTTATTATTTTTTTTTTTGCTCCACTTTCGTTCAATTGATGATAACTAAAAAATTCTTTGGTTTCATTGCTCTTCATTATTATTCCTTTGATTCCTTTAATATTATTTGTTTTCTTTCATCTTCTCATCTGCCAATTACTGTCATCATTATTTATGTTATTGATGGTTTTCAAAGCAAATTACTTGCTGAATTCATTTCTGTCACTTAAATAGGATTACATTTTTCATCAATTTAAGATTTATTTATTTGATCATTCGCATCTTCTAATCTTTCAATTACATAATTTAAAGTACACTAGTAATATATTTGCTTAATTACAATTAATAATAATAAATAAAATTATCTTCATTTTCTCAATTCATATCATTTTCACAAGTTGATTTGTTTCGCAAAGATTTACAGTATTTGTATATTTGACTTTTCATAATAAAATAATAAAATAATTAAAATTGACATGATCATTCATTCAAAAATAAAAATAATAACAATTAAAAAAAAAAAGTTAATAGTCTTACTATTGATAATTTCATTTGTTCAATAACATCATATAATTTATCATCCATCGTTCTTGTCATATTCCTCTTTCTCTAGTTTCTTTTAAAATTGATCAATTAAAGATTTTATGTATATCTACATAATTGGTTGATCAATTGATTTTTGGTTTTATTGTAATAATTGATTAATTTATTAGAATTGAATAATAAAGTAATAATTATAATAATAATATATTATATATATTGTATCTTATCTAATTTCCATTTCTTTTACTTCTTCATCATTTAATATTTCATAAGCACAATGAGTTTCACTGATTCCAATCTTTCATCTATATCTTTCACCTGTTCCTTAATTTCTTTTATATCTTGCTGGATTTCTAATAACATGTTCATAATATTTTCATTTGTTGTATCATTCTTTTCCATTATATTATTTTTAACTTTTCTATTTATATTATTTTTAACAGTATCTGAGTATCTTGTTTCCATATTAATTCCTCCCATCAGAGATTTATATAGTAGTGGCTATAGATGGCACCTTAATTAATTTTGCATTTGCCGAAAATATAATTGTCAGAAATAATTTCAGCTGCTGAAACCAAAAATAATTTCAGCTGCTGTAATTATTTTCGTCTGTCATAATTATTTTCAGCTGCCATAATTATTTTAGGCTGCTGTAATTGTTTTAGGCTGTCAAAATTATTTTAAGCTGCCAAAATTATTTTAGGCTGTCAAAATTATTTTAGGCTGCCAAAATTATTTTAGGCTGTCAAATTATTTTAGGCTGCCATAATTATTTTAGGCTGCTGTGATTATTTTTATATGATAAATTAATTATAGATATTATAATTAATATTGGTTATTATAAATATTATCAATATACTAATACTACAATTATATTAAGTTATATTTGTCAAAATTTATTTTATTATAAAACATGAATTACATTATAAAATTTAT